ACAACAATGTGTTCAGTTGAGTCTTTGAGAGAGTTTGTCAACGAGCGACTAACTGCTGCTGCTGAAGAAATATTGGGAGTTTTTCAAAGAAGCATCGTCGAGTACGAGGAAGAGATCGATCGTCAGCGCAGACTGTTGGATATCGTTTTGAAGCCTGAAATAAAGTTACACAGGACAGGTGGGTGAAAGCTAATTGAAGTAATTTACTGGCATGTGTGTATATTTGCTGTAGCATGACATTAGTATGCTGTTGGTGTTGTTGTGTGTCCCTCCAGAGCTCCCACAGCAACATGTGTGTAAGGAGGAGGAGGTTGTCCCTGAGCAGCAGCTCTGTATTGAGGAGAGGAAGTCCAGTGTGGACCAAGAGGAGCCAGAGCCTCCACACATTAAAGAGAAAGAGGAGGAAGTGTGCAGCAGTCAGGAGGGAGAGCAGCTTGTAGTGAAGCAGGACACTGATGGCTTTATGTTGACTCCTGCTGATGAGGAAAGTGAGCAGAGTGAAGATCAGACTCTGGACTTCATTCATGATGACACTCAAAGTGCAGCAGAGAAAGAGTCTGTATTTAAAATGCCAGTTATAAGCTCTGTGATATCAGAAGCAACCAGTGAGCACCAGCTGCTCTGTCACAACTCTCATGTAGCCGAGAGCCAAGATGAGGAAGGAGGACATCATGACAACAACAGTCACAGTAACAATGATAACAACTCTGCCATATCAAAGATTCACCTCAAAACTCGCACAGGTGAAAGGTCTTTCAAATGTGACACATGTGGAAAAGCTTTTCGGTATCAGTCAAACTTAAATATACACTTGAGAATCCACACAGGTGAGAAGCCCTTTACATGCAAAACATGTGGAACAGCTTTCAGACATAATAGTAGCTTGTTGGCCCACAAAAGAATCCACACAGGCGAGAAACCCTTTACATGCCAGACATGTGGGAAAGCTTTCAGACACAATAGTCATTTGACAGCCCACATGAGAAGCCACACAGGTGAGAAGCCATTTACATGCAAAACATGTGGGAGAGCTTTCAGACGGAGTAGTGAGTTGACAGTCCACATGAGAATTCACACAGACGAGAGGCTGTTTACATGCACAACATGTGGGAAAACTTTCAGACAGAATTTTCAATTGATGGTCCACATGAGAATCCACACAGATGAGAAGCCGTTTTCATGCAAAACATGTGGAACAGCTTTCAGACATAGTGGTCAGTTGACTATCCACATGAGAATCCACACAGGTGAGAGGCCATTTACCTGTAAAATATGTGGAACAGCTTTCAGACATAAAAGTAGCTTGTTGGACCACATGAGAATCCACACAGGTGAGAAGCCATTTACATGCACAACATGTGGGAAAGCTTTCAGACAGAGTAGTGAGGTTAGAGTCCACATGAGAATCCACACAGGTGAGAAGTCATATATATGCACAACATGTGGGAAAGCTTTCAGACAGAGTTGTAAGTTGATAGTCCACATGAGAATGCACAGCAGTGAGAAGCTGCACACTTGCAGTACCTGTGGGAAAAGATTCAGGGACAAATCAGCATTGAAAGGTCATATGAGAATCCACACAGGTGAGAAGCCATTTATTTGCACAACATGTGGGATAGCTTTCAGACAAAAAAGTCACCTGAATGTCCACATGAGAATCCACACAGGTGAGAAGGTGTAACTTTGCAAGACCTGCAAGAAGTGACACTGTGATGTGTTTCAAGCACAACGCATATTATATCTCATACAGACAAGTGGCCTTGTGTTTGTGAAACATGCAGGAGTTCTGGTTCTTGGCACACAAGAACTCACAGAAGTGAGGAGTTGCATAATTGCAGCAGTTACTGAAAAGCACCTGAGGATCAATAAACACTGGAGAAACCATTGAGCTGAATCTCTTGTGGAGATGTGTTCGCAAACTGAATTAAGTAAAATTCACCATTGAGAGGTGACAACAATATGTTGTACATTTTGTTAAAAATGTCATCATCTAACACTTATTTTAACTCAAATAACCGTTGAAAACAGTTTGTCTTTGAAACAATCTTCCATTTCTTTTCAGTCTTTGAGTTTTAAGAGTACCAGACTCACCCTGAAGTCTAAAGCTGTTAGCAAGTTGTAAAAGTAGTCATAGTGAAGAACTGTTGTTATTACAGTGTTAAGTTATAACATTCAAGAGGTGATTTAATGTTGGAGCTCATCAGCTGGAGGTCAAGTTAAAGTATAATTTGATACTGTTTGATCAGAGGAGCTGCTTCAAAGTGAACAAACGTGGAGGAATCAAATTACCTGTACTGAAGTACTATATTTACAACATTGTCCTCAGATGGCCATGATTGCTTGTCAATGGTACATAGATATGAAGTCTGGAATGCTTTAAATAAATCTAAAAACATGATCAAGTTTGAGGTATTCTGTGATTACTTTCCTTTTGTGCTACACATTTTTCTACTTCACATGAAAATTGTCTTTTTGGCCACTAGATTTACTTGACAGCTAAAGTTACTTACTACTGACTGGAATTTTTAAATTCAATATTAATAATAATGATACATTTTATTTCATAGAGCGCTTTTCATGGTACATAGACACTTTACTTCCATTTAAAATGATCATGAAATAGAGTACAGTAAAATACGCACAGCGTCATTCACATTAAAAAACAATTCGAAAAGATGAGATTTGATGAGTGATTTGAACTGGGACAGATCAGTGCAGTCTTGAATGTGTTTGGGGAGAGAGTTCCAGAGGGAGGGGGCAGCTATAGAGGAGGCTCTATCGCACCAGGTCTGGTGCTTGATCCTGACTGATGGAGCCAGGAGGTTGGTATCAGATGAGCGGAGGCTGCGGGAAAGAGTATAGCGGTTGAGCAGGTCAGTAAGGTAGGGGGCCTGGTTATGGAGGGCTCTATGAGTGATGAGAAGGACTTTGAAATGGTTGTGTTGTGGGACAGGAAGCCAGTGGAGGTTCTGGGGGACAGGGGTGATGTGATTGCGGGAGCAGGAATGGGTAAGCAGATGGGCAGCAGAGTTCTGGATGTATTAGAGTTTATTTAGGACTTTGGATGGTGTACCATGAAGAACGCTGTAACAGTCGTCCATTCTGGATGTGATGGAAGCATAGATTGGAGTTTAAGCAGCAGAGGGGGAGAGTGATGGGCTGAGATAAGCTATGTTTCTTAGGTGGAAGAAGACAGTGCTGGTGATTTGATTGACATGTTTTTCGAAAGGGAGATTGTTGTCAAAAATAACTCTGAGGTTGCGGATGCATGGGGCTGAATACAGAGTGAGTTATCAATGGTGGGTCAGAAGTTGTGAGTGGTTTTGACTAGGGGTTTTGGACTGATGATAATCATGTCAGATTTTTTACAGTTTAAGGTAGCTGGCTTGCATCCAGGACTTTATGTCATTGAGGCAGGTGGTCAGAGTGGAGTGAGTTCCAGTGGTGATGGCTGTCATTGGCATAGCAATGGAAGTTGAGGCCATGGCTGTGAATGGTGTTACCAAGGGGGAGCATGTAGAGGATGAATAGGAGAGGCCCAAGCACCTAACCCTGAGGGACGCCTTGGGACAGAGGAGCAAGGGAGGAGGTGCAGTTGTTTATATTGATAAACAGATGTCGATTTGTGAGGTATGACCAGGAGAGGGCAGTACCGGTGATGCTGAGGGAGGACTGGAGGCGGGAGAGGAGAATTGTGAGATTGATGGTGTCAAAGGCTGCTGTCTGGTCAAGAAGGGTGAGGATAGAGGGGTGGCCAGAGTCTGAGGTGTGAAGGTGGTTGTTAATGACTTTGAAAAGGACGATTTCTGTGCTACGCTGTGAGCGGAAGCCGGATTGAAATGGTACAAACAGGTCGTTGGAGGAGAGGTGGGCAACAGCACTTTCCGGTATTTTTTTTGTATTGTATTTATTTGGAATGGGATTGAGAGCACAGGTGGAGTTTTTCATTCCAGCCATCAACTTGGCCAGCTCCACTGGGGAGATGGGGGAGAACTGGGTCAGATGTTGAGGCTGAGTTCAGGTATACCAGGGGGCTAAGTGTGTGAATGAGAGTTTTAGTTTTGAGAAGAGCTAGCTGGGCAAGACAGGAGGAGAGTATGCCATTATAGTAGTTGACAAGGTCAAAGGGATTATTAGACAGTGGGGGAGGAGAGGCAGACACTACATCGGCAAGATTTAAAAATCATATTGAGGTTGTTAAATACGATGTGGTTATCGATGTGTTTTGTACATTTACTAACATTTTGAAAGCATGGAGAGAGTAAGAGAGCTGTACAACCACACTGACAGCGGAAAGAATTTTTATTCAAATCATCATTTAATACAGGTGATATTACATCTACCTGGACCTTTCTGGATATCTGTTTATTGTTCACTGTGGGGAGAGAATTTGAGGATAAACCATATATTTGCTACTGTAAGAACCTGCTGATGAGCAGAAAGAAAATAAAACCTCACTTTCATTGCTGGAACACAGTGAGACACGTTCAGTGGAAGTAAACAATAAAAAGGTAGAAGGAAGACCAGAAAGGAAGGGTATATCCCAAAACATAAAAATCAGTCATAAAAAAGATATACAAAGAAACTGTGGGAACTGTTGAGTTAAAGAAAATGTAAAATATATTTTACTGCATTGCACTATGGATGAGGAGGAAAGGGAAAGATTGATTGATAAAGTCCTAGAGGCAAGGTGGGGGTGGAATTTGATGTGGTTACAGGGAACAGAGGGAGAAATAGAGGAGGTAGGACCAGGAAGGCACTTTTTTGCTTTTTGAAATGCCGCAGGGTTAATGGGAAGAATTAAGGACATAAGGTACATTCATATGATGTTGCACACTTTTGTATACACTCTAGGTGAAGGTATGCACCTTAAAGTTGTTTGCGATCTGCCAATAAACTTAGAGAAAAAGAAGTAAGAACCCGTTGATAAGCAGAGGGAAAAAAAATACTCACTTTCACTGCCGGAACTTTAATGCTGTGACACATCCACCGGAAGTAAACAAAACATGCGCTAGCAGCGTTAGCTCCACAGATGTGTGGATTTAGCGGCGGGATGATGGTGTAGTTTTCGATAATAAAGGGTTAGATGTAATTAGGCAACAATGTGTTCAGTTGAGTCTTTGAGAGAGTTTGTCAACGAGCGACTAACTGCTGCTGCTGAAGAAATATTGGGAGTTTTTCAAAGAATCATCGTCGAGTACGAGGAAGAGATCGATCGTCAGCGCAGACTGTTGGATATCGTTTGGAAACCTGAAATAAAGTTACACAGGACAGGTGGGTGAAAGCTAATTGAAGTAATTTACTGGCATGTGTGTATATTTGCTGTAGCATGACATTAGTATGCTGTTGGTGTTGTTGTGTGTCCCTCCAGAGCTCCCACAGCAACATGTGTGTAAGGAGGAGGAGGTTGTCCCTGAGCAGCAGCTCTGTATTGAGGAGAGGAAGTCCAGTGTGGACCAAGAGGAGCCAGAGCCTCCACAGATTAAAGAGGAAGAGGAGGAAGTGTGCAGCAGTCAGGAGGGAGAGCAGCTTGTAGTGAAGCAGGAGACTGATGGCTTTATGTTGACTCCTGCTGATGAGGAAAGTGAGCAGAGTGAAGATCAGACTCTGGACTTCATTCATGATGACACTCAAAGTGCAGCAGAGAAAGAGTCTGTTGTCATTATACCAGTTATAAGCTATGTGATACCAACCAGTGAGCACCAGCTGCTCTGTCACAACTCTCATGTAGCTGAGAGCCAAGATGAGAAGGGAGGACATCATGAAAACAACAGCAACACAGATGAAAAATCTCACAAATGTGACATGTGTGGAAAAGCTTTTCTGTACAGGTATAACTTAAAAATACACCAGAGAATCCACACAGGTGAGAAGCCGTTTATGTGCAAAACATGTGGGAGAGCTTTCAGACAGACTAGTCATTTGACAGCCCACATGAGAATTCACACAGGCGAGAAACCACACCTTTGCAGGATATGTGGGAAAAGATTCAGCGACATACGCGTGCTGGAAAGGCATTTTAAAATCCACACAGGTGAGACTTTGTAACTTTGCAAGACCTGCAGGAAGAGACAGTTGAATGTGTGACAACTGTCAAGGCATATAAGATCTCAGACAGACAAGTGGTCTTGTGTTTGTTAAATATGTGGGAGCTGATTTAGTTCTGGTTCATGGTCAAAGCACACAAGAACTGACAGAAGTGAGGTGTTGCATGTTTGTAGCACCTGTGGGAAAAGTTTTACTCAGATCACATACTTGAAAAAACATCCGAGGACCAGTAAACAGGAGAAACCATAGAGCTGAAACTCCTGTGGAGACGTGCTCTCTATCTGAATCAAGTAAAATTGCCCACTGAGAGGAGGTCACAATATGTTGAAGAACTACATTTGTTAAAATGCCATTTTGTTGAACTAACTCTCAGTTTTACTCATAATCCTGTTGTTCTTTGAAACAGTCTATCTTCCAAATTTTTTGAAAAAGTTTCAAAGTGTTGTCAGTGGAGCTGCTTCATATTGAACAAAAATGCGTGCTTTGATGTTACATATTCTATTCTACTTCACCAGATTTTAGAGGCAAATGTACCTTTTATGCTTTTACTTTTGATACCAATTCACAGCATGGATTTTTCTACATTGTTCCTTGAGGTCTTGGTGTCTTTTGTGGTACTTTGGAGAGATTTGGTTTGGACATTTTTATCAGTTATCTAGGGTTAAAAAAAACCCTTAAATGTAGCACTATATCAGGGAAACAAATGTTATCAACCCATAAACTGCTGCAACAACGTATGAGACATAATTGAACATGGGAATGGCCATTGTATACTTGATAATAATGTTCTTTAAGCACCCTCACACTAAACTTTTAAAGTTTTAATAGGTGCCTAACCAAAACACAATGTTTATCACAGATTTATGACTAGAAAAACTTGACACAGCTGTATCTCAAATCAATCTTCAAATGACAAACTGATTAAACTTTGGTGGTCAAACATCAAGGTCACTGTGACCTCGAATTTGTCTCATTTTTGAGAAAGCCATATCTCAAGAAGGCCTTGAAGGAATTTCTTTTAATTTGACACAAATGTCCACTTGGACTAAGAAATAAACACATTAGACTTTGATGGACGAAAGTCAAAAGTCAAGGTCACTGTGACCTCACAAAATATGTTTCTGACCATAACTCAAGGATTCTTGTACTAATTATGACAAATCTTCACACAAATGTCTAACAGGATGCAGTGATGAAGTGGAGAGATTTTATATCCAAAAGGTGGTCAGCTTCACTGTGACATCATAATGTTCAACGGTGCACATCTTGAGACTGTGCTGATTGTATAGATCTTGTGTGCTGCTGGGGGGAAGATGTGTGTGAAGCATCCATATTTTCACAGTCATTGATGTAAACTGTTAGAGCAGAATGGCGTTGACTTCTCATTTGTGCAAATGGACGGAAAAGATAATCATCTGTAGATTATCACATGTCTTGGATCAAAAAGATCGAGTAATTTTAGAAATAGAGTTCAAAAAGGGTGATCAACAGTAGATTCTTTAATTAGAGTAAGTAATGATGTGGAAAAGACTTTAGTTAGTATATAGTATAATAAGCTCAGTACTGTTCAACATAATGATATATGACATCATTGCAAATTTAGATGGATGATGGGGCCATATGGATGAGGGGAAGAAATGTGCCACGTGTATTCGAGAATATAGGAAGAGCAATAAAGAAAGTGGAGATGTTGTATGAGTGGGGGTTCAATATGTAAACAAGCAAGTCTTGTTACATGATGTTTACCAAAAAACAAAGACCAATGCTGAGAAGTTAACATTGTACAGTCAGTTGATTGAGCGAGTGTCCAAATTTAAGTGCTTGGGTGTATGGCTATGGCAGCAAATATACATTTAATTTTATTTTTTCTTAAAACTTAAAGGGAAATTTCGGTTTATTTCAACCTGTCTCCTATCGTCCTAAATTTGTTTCAAGTGACTAGTGACATAAAAATAATAGTTAGCATGTTAGCCGTTAGCCTAGATACAGCCGGGGCGCATAGTAGCGTCAGACCTGTCAAAACGTAAGTGAACGGGCAACCTTCAAGTGCAAAGTTAGTCCACTAAACAAGCTTTTTTTCCACAAAGACCGCCTCATGTCGTTAGGATAAATGTCAGAGAACATATAGAAAACGACATGTAAACGTGTTGTCTTACCTGTATCTAGGCTAACGGCTAACATGCTAACTATTATTTTTTGTCACTAGTCACTTGAAACAAATTTAGGACGATAGGAGACAGGTTGAAATAAACCAAAATTTCCCTTTAATTTAACTGGGAAAACCTCTTGAGATTAAAAATCTCTTTTTCAAGAGTGTCCTGGCCAAGACAGGCAGCAAAATAAGTTACAGACAGACAACACAGAACAAAAATACATAATAAAAATGTTCAGCTCTAAAACAAAAAAAAGCAATGTAAAACACAAAATAGGATTACTAAAAGATGACTATGTTAATGTATGCTAGAAGTGAACCATAAAAATGCAAAAAAGGGCAACTACGCATGATTACAAAAACCAGCTAAGAGACACTGTGACACTGGCATATTTACAGAAATCCTGCAACAGTGCAGAAACCAATGAGTGCACCTTTAAGTCCCTCTGCAGCAGATTCCATATATAGAGATGCATACATAAATGCTCGCTTGCCAAACTCTGTACGTACCCTTGGTGCAGACAATAAAAACATGTTCTGACATGGAAAGTACATAATAACCACTTAAAAATAAAATGAAAAAAAAAAAAAAAGCGATATATCTATTACGGGCTGTGGCTGGATGCAACTAGGGGGCAAACAAACATCAGAGTTCACCAGATTCACCCCAGTTTGTTTTGTACCCCTGTGGCTTCTCCCAGACGTAAAGATAGACAACAGTGCTCTGGAAAAGAAAAGAGAATGGCAACTGAGTGAAGTGGGAGTTAGAGCAAGTATATATCTAACGAATACAATTATCTCAAAATCTGCACCAGTGGCTCTAATACAGAATAAACAGGAATGTGTGGGAGTCGGTGTGGATAACCCAGAGTTCAACATATCTATTTCCAAAAGACCGTGTGACCAGTTACAGCAGAACTAATGGCAGTCATTTTTGCTTTACAGTGGGTTGAAGAGGTCAGGCCTGGTGGGGTGGTGGTGTGCACAGACTCTAGCTGTTTTAGAAAGCGTACATTCAACAACTGTCAGAGAAAATTTACTCAGTGAACTTTTTCATAGTTAACTAAGACTTCACAGAGGTGGTACAGATGTACAGTTTTGTTGGGTGCCAGCACACGAGGGGCTGAGAGGGAATTAATGTGCCGATAAACTAGCAAAAGGGGCATTACAGAAAGAAATTACAGAACCAGTTCCACTTGGGAAAGGAGAAAGAACAGCAGTGATTCAGAAGAAAGAAAGGGGATATCACAAAAATCAATCATAACAAAGACGTATAAAGAAAGGATTAGAAGTAAGAAGAAGAAGAAGAAGATGAAGAAGAAGGAGAAGAAGAAGAAGAAGAAGTTGTAGTAGTACTTGTAATAAACCCGTCGACGAGCGGAAAATAAAAAACAGCTCACTTTCACTGCCGGAACTTCAACAGTGTGACACATCCAGCGGAAGTAAACAATGGTAGCGCTAGCTGCGTTAGCCCTGTGGATGTTTGGAATTTCTTGGGACGTGATGGTGTAGTTTTCGATAAAAAAAAATTGTTCACTTGTAATTTAACAACAATGTGTTCAGTTGAGTCTTTGAGAGAGTTTGTCAACGAGCGACTAACTGCTGCTGCTGAAGAAATATTGGGAGTTTTTCAAAGAAGCATCGTCGAGTACGAGGAAGAGATCGATCGTCAGCGCAGACTGTTGGATATCGTTTGGAAACCTGAAATAAAGTTACACAGGACAGGTGTGTGTTTGAATATCTACTGGTACTAATTTACTGGCATGTGTGTATATTTGCTGTAGCATGACATTAGTATGCTGTTGGTGTTGTTGTGTGTCCCTCCAGAGCTCCCACAGCAACATGTGTGTAAGGAGGAGGAGGTTGTCCCTGAGCAGCAGCTCTGTATTGAGGAGAGGAAGTCCAGTGTGGACCAAGAGGAGCCAGAGCCTCCATATATTAAAGAGGAAGAGGAGGAAGTGTGCAGCAGTCAGGGGGGAGAGCAGCTTGTAGTGAAGCAGGAGACTGATGGCTTTATGTTGACTCCTGCTGATGAGGAAAGTGAGCACAGTGAACCAGACACAAACAGTGACCATCAACTCCTCTCTTGCAACTCTCATGTAGCTGAGAGCCAAGATCAGACAGGAGGCAAACATGGAGACTCGGGATCAACTAGAAATGCAGAGCTTCAACCAAATGAAAGACTTCATGAAAGTGAAAGTCACACTAACAATGTATATGACTCAACAATTCCAAATATACACAGCAATATTCACACAGGTGGAAAATCTGTCACATGTGACACTTGTGGGAAAGCTTTCAAGTTTAAGTCCCACTTGCATAACCACCTGAGACTCCACACAGGCGAGAAGCCATTTTCTTGCAAAACATGTGGAAAAGCTTTCCAATCTAATAGTGGCTTGCTGTACCACATGAGAATCCACACAGGTGAGAAGCCGTACCTTTGCAACACCTGTGGGAAAAGACTCTGTCACATGACTGCGTTGAAAAGGCATATGAGAATCCACACAGGTGAGAAGCCATTTACTTGTGAAATATGTGGGAAAGATTTCAGAACTTGTAGTAACTTGACACTCCACATGAGAATCCACAGTGATGAGAAGCCCCATACTTGTGAAACATGTGGGAAAGATTTCAGGCGTAATGCTGACTTGACAGTACACATGAGAATCCACACAGGTGAGAGGCCATATACTTGTAAAACATGTGGGAGAGCTTTCAGAACTAGCAGTAACTTGACACTCCACACGAGAATCCACACTGGAGAGAAACCACATACTTGCAATACATGTGGGAGAGATTTCAGAACGATCAGTAACTTGACCCTCCACATGAGAATCCACACAGGTGAGAAGCCATATTCTTGCAAAATATGTGGGAAAGATTTCCAACATAGCAGTAGCTTGTTGGCCCACATGAGAATCCACACAGGTGAGAAGCCGTTTACATGCAAAACGTGTGGGAAAGCTTTCAGACAGAATAGTGACTTGAAAGTCCACATGAGAATCCACACTGTTGAGAAGCATTAACTTTGCAAGATGTGCAGGAAGAGACACTTAAAAGTATATTAACTGGCAAGGAATATGTAGCAACTCAGTATGTAACAACTGTGCCCACTGTAATAAATGTGCACAACGTAATAAAAGTTTAGAATGTAATAATCTGCACTTAATGCAAGAAAACCACAAGCACATGACATACTAATAGTTTTGTGCATCATTTCAAGTTTTTACATTACCGCAAAATTATTACAGTTTAAACTCAGCAAAAGAAAAAGTTATAAAGTCAGTACATAGTGTAATATTGTAAAAGAAGAATTCTCCTCTAATCCTCTTAAAACACATGGAACTCCTCTAGTTTTACATGCCACGAGTGGAGTCTTTAATTTAAAACAACTGGACTTTTTCTGTTTTGTCGGGAAGACATTTTGGACCCTCTTAAACGTGTAACAAAAATCAAGGACTACAAAATATCCAGTGATCTGTAAAAATGAAATTCTTTACAAAGATGATGCTGAATTTTAGCATGTGAAATAATTGTTCCTCACTTAAAAATTCCAGTTACTTTAAATGTTAGCTGATCTAAGCAGCAAATCGTGTTAGAAAGCAATCTACAAAATCATGTGTCTCACTTTGGCTGCTAGATGGCTCCTATCAGTGGTGAAGCACTTCATGTTGCACAAGGGAGAAGTTCTAATCAACATTAACCCCTTAGGGTAAAGGCAAATTTAATCTGCTTAATTAAAAGTGTTTCATAACTGGCAACTCGTAAGTTGCTTGTGTTGTCTTGTATATCATTCAGTGACACTTGTATTAAAAAACTCTTTTTGCGAGTCTGTGACTAGAGTGCAGGCGGAGCTGTTGACACTCCATTCTGTTGCTCCATCTGTGCCCACAGTACACTCTGCACTCAGAGAGTGTGGAGCAATCAATATCTGAACTGGTTATATATTACCACAGCGCTGCCAGTGTACAGTCCAGCTCCAAAAATAGAAAAGTAAAATGTGGCAGCAGATGTTTAAATCGTGGCGGGCTGCCACAAATAAGTAAATGTGTGGGAAACCAGCCTGCTCTCACTCCCAACCTATTAAATACCATTGCTTCATAAAGTACTTTGGTGTCAGATACTGACGTACAGAGGCAGCAGTCGCAGTGGTACGGTACGCGTTAAGTGGCGGCTATCTCTGATACCACTGGCAACTGCAGTATAAAGAGCAAGAAAGTCCATACATAGGTGGGAGGGGAGGTGGGTCCATCACACACTGGACTTTCACCTGGCAGCCCGCTGTTCATTTCTCGTGTAAAACCAAAAGCCAGTGGAGTTGCTGTAATGACAGTGTAATGTGCTAGTCTGAGTAGCATGTTACACTAGTGATGTATTTCTCATGACTTATGTCATGTGACATGACATTACGTTAGTAAGAATCATATTTATTTTAAGCTAAACCATGTTTTTTTTAAAAACTTAATTACGTGCTTTTGTTGCCTAAACTTAAGTGTTTTACCTACGTAGTAAGTTTATTTTAAAAAAGACTGTATGCATGTAACAAGCTGAAACTGTACATTTACTGTGACAACAGAATTGTATTTTGAAAAGACACAGTGCATGAAACAAGCACCAAATGAGACGCTGGCTGTGAACGTCTAAAACAGATGCAGAAGGGCAGGGCTGCCCCTGACCAAATTGGGGCCCTAAGCGAAATTTTATTTATATAATATATTATATATTCGCTAAAGTTTATAGCCTATCAATATATATACGATCACCAACTGGTCATTTTACCACTCCTTTTCATCAGAGGTGAATGCATAGGGCGTTAACAAGACATTCAATAAATGTCAATCAGGGCCGCTGGAAAAAAAAAAAATTCTCCAGTCTAGACAGAGACTGGAGACAGAGATTCCTATCTAATGAGTAGCAGCTTAGGTGTTTGTGCAACAACATACCCACCTTCAAGTGAAGCACAAGCTCCCTCTTGTTTTGCCTTTTTTTCCCTCTTGCTCCCTCCTGACTCGTGATGTCTTTTGGACGACATGTCGACAACTCTTCACCTGCTGCAGCTCTGCAAGTGCCTGCCGGCGCTCCCCTCTGATTGGTCAGATGTCGAATGCTGTCAATCATTGCAGCGACGCATGCGCGGTCAGATTACGGGTCTCTTCTCTCCTTCCTCGAGCTGATTCTACGCGTGCCTCACGGTAGCGCATATGCGCAAATGCGTCCCCTCTTGCAAAATGTGGCCCCCCATGGAAGATGAGGCCCTACGCACAGCGCGTGTTCTGCATTTAGGGAGGGGCGGCCCTGCAGAAGGGTACCTAGAGCGTCATTTTGACGTTATGGTCAGTTGACCTTGAAGTGGTGGTATTTGACGAGTTGGGATGAGAGCACATCAGAAAACCCTGATTTAGTGATGTCAGGATATAATACTTCCTCTCAAAAAGGCTAGTGCATTTATCGGGTGGTTTATGGTAGTGGCTGGAGGGTTCTCTCTCTGTTTCCTATTAAGCTTTGAGTGGCAAACATGTTTGCAAAGTACTGACTGAAATGTTATAGGGCACAGAAAGAATAGGGAGTATTGACCTTTATTGACCACTGATAACTGTAACAGCTTAGGAGAAAGATTTCTGACAGGATGACAATTAAGTGACAGTAAAAACTGCTTTAATGTTTCAGACAGAATGATTCTATATATTATTAGTTACCACAGATAGTACCACGAATTGTTCCAAGAGAAAGGTCATTAATATTAATGGCTACAAGTGATCACAGCAGTAACCTTCTGAGAAAAGTACAGGCCTGTTTGATATTACTAGCTACCAGTGATAAATGCAGTAGCCTTTCTATCCTACATCACTAACTTCCAAAACCGTGGTTCATCTTACAAGTTGCCAGTGATAAAACACTTTTAATTCATCACATTAAATTTGCCTTCAACTGCTAAGGGACTAATGTCGATTTCTGTCAGGAAGAACTTCTCCCTTGTGAAAGATGGAATGCATCACACTGATTGGAGCCATCTAGTGGCCAACATGAGGTACATGATTTAGGAATACCACATTCACCCTGAAGTCTGTTGGCAAATTCTGTTCATCAGGACTGCAGATGGGTTTGACTGTCATCAAAAGTAAAAGTAGTCATAGTGATGAACTGTTGTTTTTAGAGTGTTAAGTTATAACATACAAGAGGTGGGCCAAGTTAAAGTATTATTTGATGGTGTTTGATCAGTGGAGCTGTTTCATATTGAACAAACATGTACGTAGAGGAGGGATGTCACTACATGTACTCAAGTACTGTTTTTATGTACAACACCTATTATCATCAGATGGCTAAAATTGCATGTAAATTCTACATAGATATGAAATCGGGAACACACCAAATAAAAAGAAAAGAAAACGTCAGTTTTGAGGTCTTCTTGATTACTTTGCTTTATTTGCTACATATAGTATTACTTCACTAAATGCTCTGCTCTGCCAAAATGCTATTTAGACATCATAGCCTCAGTAGTACTGACAGGAGCCACTGTGTACTTTCATGCATGTTTCCAGTAATGTTACATGATTACTAACATTTTGAATGCATGCGTGTTTTTATACTGTGTTAAGGCAAAAAAACAAACATACAAACAAAAAAATCCCCACAATTCTTTGGTAACAATTACACATAAATGTAATATAGTAAAAAAAACAATAATTTGAAAAAATAAAGATGAAAGACAGCAATATGAAATAATAGAAGACAGGAAAGTAGGCAATAAATCAAATTTCTTCAAGAAAAATTCTGTTGTATTCTATATTAGCACATTCCTTATTGTTTATAATCTAGACTCAAAGTACTTTCTAAATTCACACCTGAAATGTTCAAATGATGGGTGAAACCTCAACAAAGTGGCTGCATGGGTGTGAAGCATTCCTGGGAAAATGAATAACTTGACAGTCCGCTGAACATTCTTTTTTTATAGCATAATATCAAGCTTCCATCTTAATTTAGTGATTTGTGTGGGTGTTAAAATAGTCCTCAAATAAATGTTTCTTGTTTCTTCTCCTTTTTTTCCCTTCTTTCTTTTTTAATACAAAATTCACATTTGGTATATTTAAAAAATCTGATCAAATATAATAATATTCTTTATCAGTGACAGGAAATCAGAGGAATTCCTCCTTTTGTAGGTGTCCAAGAAAAAAAATATTCCTGTCAATCCAATGTTGCAAATTAAATAAATTCATTCTTTCTGGTTATGTATTTATTGTTCCACCAGGCACGGCGCCAGGATTTTTTCTCTCCCGGGGCTAAGGGGGAGCTTGACCGATACGTGGGGGTGCTAAGAAAATAATTGATTTTCATGACTTCAGTTACTTTATAAGGAGGTTCTTGTTTTTTCAATAAAAGCAGCTATGATACACAGCATAAGCATGTTCGATATAAAATTGGTTTTAACTGAATTTTTCCAAAGAATATCCAACAAAATAGTTAGGCCTAATACAAGTGACCACAAGGCAATGGCAAAAATGTTTCACGTGCGAAGGTGACAGATTCAGCACCGGATGCGCCCATGCGCCTGACAATAACCAGACAATACATCCAAAATGCGACAGCAAGTGCATTTATTCCATATGCATAATTAATATGAATATTCCAGCCATTTGTAATCCTCATACCATCTACGATTTTTTCTTGATCACAAAACGACCCATTGCAACGGACTGTCGGCTAGCTAGCCTTAGCCTAACACGCAAGTATAAACAAAGGACTCCCCCCACCCCCCTTTTCTCCCCTCTCTCTCTCTCACACACACACACACGCACACTCACACACACAGAGGTTATGGTACACCAATCAATGGGGTATAGGCGCAGCACAAACATGCAAGCAGGGATTGCATTGGAACAGAATGGCTACTTAATGTTTTTTAACTTAAAAATATATATTATAAAATATAAAATAAAATGCTTGAGGGGCTTAACTGGGGCTACACAGATTTTTGACGGGACTATAGCACCCACTAGCCCCGGTGTAGCGCCATCCCTGTGTTCCACATATTTATTTTGTGGGGAGATAAACTGTGGATATATATTACGTGGAGGAAAAATAGCTTACTTGCTCTGCCGGAACTTTTACAGTGTGACACATCCAGCGGAAGTAAACAAAGCCAACGCTAGCTAGGAATGCATAGAATTTATTGGGACGTGGTGGTGTAGTTTTTACATAGATAAACATTTCACTTCATGTGACAACAATGTGTTCAGTTGAGTCTTTGAGAGAGTTTTTCAACGAGCGACTAACTGCTGCTGCTGAAGAAATATTGGGAGTTTTTCAAAGAAGCATCGTCGAGTACGAGGAAGAGATCGATCGTCAGCGCAGACTGTTGGATATCGTTTTGAAGCCTGAAATAAAGTTACACAGGACAGGTGGGTGAAAGCTAATTGAAGTAATTTACTGGCATGTGTGTTTATTTGCTGTAGCATGACATTAGTATGCTGTTGGTGTTGTTGTGTGTCCCTCCAGAGCTCCCACAGCAACATGTGTGTAAGGAGGAGGAGGTTGTCCCTGAGCAGCAGCTCTGTATTGAGGAGAGGAAGTCCAGTGTGGACCAAGAGGAGCCAGAGCCTCCACACATTAAAGAGGAAGAGGAGGAAGTGTGCAGCAGTCAGGAGGGAGAGCAGCTTGTTGTGAAGCAGGAGACTGATGGCTTTATGTTGACTCCTGCTGATGAGGAAAGTGAGCAGAGAAGCAGTGAAGATCAGACTCTGAACCTAAGTATCAATGTAACTCAGAATGCTGTGGAGGAAAAGCTTCTAAACTACACATCAGTCACACCAGTCATATACTCTGTAGTATCAGAAGCAAACAGTGACCACCAGCTCCTCTCTTTCAACTCTCATATAGCTGAGAACAGGAAAACATGGGGACACAGGATCAACCAAAAATACAGAGCCTCAACCAATGGAAAGACGTCATGTAAGCAATAGTCACACTAGCAATGTATATGACTCTATCATGTCAAAGGTTATTAATGCTCAAACAGGTAATCCGTTTTTTCAGTGTGTAACTTGTGAGAAAAATTTCATGTTTAAGTCCCAGTTGTATATCCATCTGAGATTCCACACAGGTGAGAAGCCTCATTCTTGCAATGTCTTTAGGGAAAGCTCCAGATATGCATCAGTATCGAACGCTCATGTCACACAGGTGAGAAGCCATATTGTTGCAAAATGTGTGGCAAAGATTTCCAGTATAATAGTGGCTTGTTATACCACATGAGAATCCATACAGGTGAGAAACCCTACCTTTGCAAGACCTGCAGGAAAAGATTCAGTGAGACATCAGTATTGAATCGGCATGTAAGAATCCACACAGGTGAGAAGCCATTTACATGTATGACATGCGGGAATGGTTTTACTTGAAATGCTTACTTAAAAGTCCACATGAGAATTCACTCAGGGGAGAAACCATATAAATGCGAAACATGTGGGAAAGATTTCAGATCTAACAGTTGCTTGAAAACCCACATGAAAAGAGCCCACAGTTTAAAAGCTGTATAACTGCAGCACAGAGGTACCAGTTGTTGCATCACCCATACAGCTGAGAAGCCATATACTTGAAAAACATTTGGAAGAGATTACAGAATGAATACAGCACTTAGTTCACACGACACGAGTCCACACTCGTGAGAAACTGTCGTGGAACAAACTTCTTTTTCCCTTCATATGACAGTATTACTTTTTAGCAGCTTTGAAACAATCATAATCTCCCAAAGCAAGGACGATGTTAGTTTCACAGTGAGTGCAATGTAGTTGTTAAAAACTAATGGTGTGATACTGATGTGTATCATATGAGTGACATTACTGTTTTATGAAATATGCAAGTCTTAAATGTTAACATGCCTTTGTTTGGCTATTTGTATGAGTCACATGCACCTCTGAAGTTGGAAATTATTTATTAGTCTTTATACGTTGATATTTATTCACATTCGCTTCTTTCTTAATATTATGTTTTATTTGTTCTTTACCTGTAATGCACTTGAAAATACATACATGATCTTGGAATCAGCCAGTCATCTATGTAGGTCAGGATTCTCATACCTGTCTTCCTGAGAGGCACCAGTGCTGGTTCCACACATTTGGAGAACGTGCCTGGAACTTAAGAGGTACTGTGGTAAACTATGGACTGTATAGAGCAATGGACGTAGCTACAGTGACATCACCTGTTGGTTTGTGGACTCGACCATATTTGGATGAGAAGGTTGATCTAACTCACAGACTGTAGCGACGCCTCGCAGACAGCCTGTCACTCAAGTGGCTTTGCCCTTAAATATGCATAACTTTAAGCCTTAATAAAATGTAAATTGGTGAGTTATATAAAAATAACCCCCTGCACAGTTGTTGTCATGAATGTTGGAATTAGCTATAAAGACCAAAAATGTTTTTTTGCACCAGGCTGTAAACATGTTTATTTGTGCTGTTAATTTGGGCATTTTAACATGAGGGTCTATAACCCGTTTCACAAATACCGTCATCTTGGACATCGCGCAGTGCACTGTGGGATTGAAAGCGTCCAAACACCACCGTGTACAGTCTCTGACCATATCTCTGACAAACGGCCGCGATGGATACAGAACATCATTTTAGTGATATGACTGTTAGTCAATTAAAACATTATTCATCAGAATATGATATTGTAGTGTCAAAAGCATTAAAAAAAGATTTGGTTGCCTGTTGCTGTGCAACATGTTTGTTAAATCTGCAACCAAAGGCTACACTGGAAGAATATAATAAAGAAATTGCGAACCAGAGGCTGTCCAAATTAATTTTAGATGGGGGCATAATGTGCCTACCTGATCCTGATATCCTCCGAGATGGTTGGGAAGACAGCCCATCGAGTTATCCACATCTGTTACAGAGTGGTATAGAAACATATTTTGACAAAAGTAAGCAATCAATGAGAATATGTTTCCTAATCTTTTTTTTTTTAACACTTCTTGGCTGTCTTGGTCATCTGCTCTGGCAATTTGCATGACTATATATTTTACTCCTTTGTCATGTATACATTTAGTAATGATGCCAACTAAATAGGCCTATGTGTTTTCTCTTATAGAAAACCGAGCAATTGACATTTTAACTGGTGGTGCCCAGGCTTTGAGGGACGGAAAGTCCCTTCACATGTCAGACCATGTCCATAATGTGCAATATCATGGCATTGGTGAAAACGTGCCATATTGTTTCCTGAGGGCCACAGTGATCAGAGAAACCAACACCTCTCTGGCACCCTATAAATGCTGGTTGATTGTACACAAGGCAAAAGCATTGTTGGTGGATGCCTTCTGCTCCTGTCCTGCAGGGTAAGCCGATATTTATTTGACAAACAATATCATGTTCATTTCAAGAAAATATCATACTTATTAAAATCACATTTTCATTTTTTTATTTGCATTTTGAAAGAAAACAGGAAAAGCTTGCACACTGATCAGAAAAATGGAATGTCCACTCCAAAGGTAAATGGATGTAAAAGTTCCATATTTAATGGTCCATCAAAAATATAAAAATATAACAGGTGCTACCAATAGTGAACCCCTTCAAGCATCGAGGTCTCAGTATCCTGAAGTTTGCTGAACAACCAGATTCTTGCCTTCATATCACACCAACAGGTTTGGTCCAGTGGTTTCTTCTAGCTACAGTGAAATGATTGAATGTCTAGAAGTAGCTCTTGGATGTTGAACCCTCTGTCTGCAAGCAGGATATCACCCCTTTCTACCATTTCAATGATACCTGACCTCTTGACAATTTCCTTGTCGCTCATGCATCCCCCTGCAGATTTTGATACAAAAGACATCGTTCCTGCTGGTGTACATGCCACCAAAACCTTAGCAGTAGGTCTTCCCTTGTATTTTGAGTATATCTGGCTATTGGCTTTTGCCAGTGAAGGCCTCTGTATGGGTATCTCAGTGCAGTCTATGATGGCACGCACATACTTGTACTTTTGGAAGCACTCAGGGTAGTACGGGTGTATCTGCTCTTGTGTAGGCCAATAGAGAAGTGGCTGTAATTTTTTTGTGAGCAGAGCTGGCCATGCAGAAATAATCTGAGATATAACACTGGTGCAGAGTTTAAAAAGATAGGCAAGAAACTTCAGAGACAAATTGAGCTTCAATTTCATCAAAGTTAACAAAAATTCATTCTAATGGGACAATTTTCTCTGCGACCCTGGCTTTTTTTCTGCAACAATCTGGTACCTCTTTACTTTTTGAGACTGCGCACCTTTGAAATAATGTATTGAGGGCAGTTTTGACCGTACCTCATTAAACATCCACTGGAAGATGGCATAGTTTTCTAAGCCTGTGTGCAGATGCATCAGTTCATCTGAATGCTTGATGGCAGAAATATCATAAAGTACTGGGAATGACTGTTTCTCATGTGATAACATTCTCTCAAAGTCATCTTTCTCATGCAACAGTTCCTGAATGTCTCTGTCAGATAAGATTCCATCCATCTCTCTCCTGCACAACATGATTGATTTCATCTGGCACTTTTCACAAACACAGGAACATGTGCAGGCACTTGCTGGCTTAAAACAGTAATTGTGCTGCTCCTGCAGGTCAGAGGTGCTGTATGATGGTGATTTGTATGGTGATGATTTGTATGGTGACTGGGATGTTAATGGCTGTGAAGCATACTCAAGCCCAACACTTGGTACAGTGTCATGATGATCACTGTAGCTGTGGTCACCTGACACTGGGCTGACTGGAGTTTGACTGGTGGCTTCCTCACTGGGTCCTGGGGACTGACTGGAAGCTTCATCCTTGAGGCCTGTTCTTCTCTTTTTTGTGGGAATGTCCTCAGTACTCTTTCTCTTCACCTTTACAATCAGAAAGACTTTATTATCACACCTTAAAAATACTTCACAATAAAAACATTGCAAAGGGTCAAATTCATTTTCCTTGGATCCTCATACTTGCAGGTCAATATAAAACAGAAACAACAAATGGCAGAATAACCACAAGAATGCATTAACAACACATTAATAAAAAGTAGAGATAGCCTATGGTCTGCTTAGATTTAAAACCTACCTTACCATGCCTTGTAGTCAGATGTGCTTTCATCATTATCCGGAGACCAGCTGCTAATGATTCTTTGAATCTCAATGTTGTCACTGTGGCTATCCTTGTCTGAATACCCCCTCATGTACAGGGATTGATGGGGCTGTATTCCAATTGGTTTGCCCAGTACAAAATGATTGCTGCAGATTCTGGTGTGATCAGTGATCTTCGGGAGGTCTTTTCTGTTGATGAGCTTCACCCACAGAGGTCGCCATTTGGGAGGGCATAAGTGGAACTTGAGCTCAGGAACATGATCTTTGATTATCCACCTAAAATATCACAACACATATTTAATGTACACAAATAGCATAGTTTAGCTCATGTCTAAATCTGGTAAACATTCAATTAACCTCCATTTTACGGTATGAGACTCAAGTAATGACATTAAAACATGAACGTATACCAATAAATTAACAACTAACTGAAATTATGTGTGTACGCAAACATAGCATGTTTTAATCGGTCAGTTTAGTCAAATATGTGTCAACATGAGGAAGCATATTAACACATCCATGTTTATTAGGGTCCGGGCAGCTAACTGCCAGGACACTATTGTAATCCTAGGTATTCTTCTTCTTTCTTCTTTCTTCTTCCTTCTTCCGAGGAAATCATACTTCCCATGGGTGAAAACTCACCAAACTTTGCACAAAGGTCCAGTCTCATGCCAGATATGCTCAGCTGTAAACTCAAGCCAATAGTCCTGATGGTGGCGCTACAGCAAGCGTCTAAAGTTCAAAACTTTGAAAATTCATAACAAATCAACCATATACTACAACTTCACAACTTTCATCAAACTGTAGCCCCAATACTGAAGAAACTTTTAACATTTAAACCTATTAAAAATTATGAAGTTTATCACTGTTTTTTTCAAAAACTGTAAAACTACCTAGCTCCTCCCAGAATTTTTGCTCAATTGACACCAAACTTGCTACAGAGCATCTTCAGACTGTCCTACAAAAACTGTTTCTCAGACTTTTGATTTATCAAAAATTGAGCCTACAGTGCATCAAAATGTTTGACTGTAAACATATACATGCAAATTCTTGCTAAATAAATCTTCAATGTTCATGAAAAAAATGACAAAATTCTAGAGTCATGGTAGATGATGTGTGGCAAATTTCAGAATTTTATCTCAAAAACTGAATTTTTGACAGCATTTTGAATTTTGCTCTAATGTGAAAATGGCAATTTTAAACATCAGTTTTTCACTTATGGAGCAAATCAATCATTGTTAAAATAAATTACCAACATCTCCATGCTGTCTAGATGCAATATGTGTATTTTCAGATTTTTGTTTCGATAACTGAATTTTTTACAGTGGTTTGAAATCTGCTTTTCCATGCATGGACGGCTGCTAAACCTGCACATCTGGCTTAGTCAATTTGTGAAGCTACACATGAATTGTCACTGACTAATTAGCTCAGTGAGATAGAAATTGATTCTTAGTCTCAGAGTTTGTGAGTTCAAGCCTCAGCTGATGCAAAAGGCAGATTGTGTTGCTAAATTCCTAAATGTCTTCCAATTCTTCTGCTTGTTGCTCAGAATTGCCCAAAAATGCCCGGACCCGACCCATCACTGTGCAGCAGCTATAATTGAGATTGGGATTACATTACTGAGTTGTGTTTTTATTGTAATACAGATTATGAACTTCTTACATGTTGACCCTGACAAATACCCCCTATTATGATTAAAAAAACAAACTAAAATGAATACACCTAATTATTATATGCACTATTCGTTTTAGGTTTGTTTTGCAGAAATGGAACAGTGCAGTCTGCATGCAAGACTGCACTGAAATAGCAAACAAATGGATGGATGGAGCTTGAGGTTTTTATTTGCAAATTCAGATTAACAGTACAGTTACACAAAAGCCCTTGGTTTATTTCTATTGTGCTCCCGTGAACCCAATTCATAAGCACAGACAGACAGAACATACAATATGTAAAACTATTTACGGTACATGTATTTACTGTAATCTGACTGAAACTACTGGTAAACTGATTAAATTATAATATAACGATAGTAGCAATAATAAATGTAAACAGAATCAAAATAAAAACTAGTTAAACATGTTAATCGTTTGTTTGAACACATCCACCCAGGAGAGAGGAAGTCACTTAAAGATGAGAACATTTAACAATAATTCTACAGACATATGCATTTAAACTTACTTGGATTTATATCGGCGATCATTGCTACACTCGTACACAGCACATTGATTGGATCCACCCATTGTTATCAATACAAACGACGACATTATTCCAAATAACAG